ATCTCCAATAAATAAAGAAGACAACAAGTAGCAAGTAGAAAAACTGTTCTTCAGCAATATACATAAAGGCTATAAACAATAATCAAATTTTTAAGCCAATTTTGCTCACATTGTCTTGAACGCAACAGGATCCTATATGTGCACCGGTTCTAGTCCCAGCGGCCTGGCTTCCCATCCAGCTCCCAGCTTGTGGCCTGGGAAAGAGGTTGAGGATGACCCAAAGCCTTGGGACCCTGCACCCACATGGGAGACCTAGAAGAAGCTACTGGCTCCTGGCTTTGGATTGGCTCAGCTCCAGTTGTTGTGGCCACTGGGGAGAAAACCATTGAACAGAAGATCATTCATCTCTGACACTTCTCTCTGTGTATCTGTCTTTCCAATAAAAATACATAAATCCTAAAAAAAAGGATTGACCTTACTACTTTGATAGAAATATTAAATGTTGCAATCAACTTAGAGAACAGTCTGGTAGTTTTTTTTATGACAGACATATATTGACCAGATGAACTAGCTATTACAATTCTACATATTTGTCCCAAGAAAATGAAAATATATGTTCACAAACAGCCTTGTAGATGAATGCTTATGGTAGCTTTATTTTTAATAGGCAAAAACTGAAGATAAATAAACATGTACATCAGCAGGAAAGAGACACAATTCTGGTACTCCCATATTACATATTCTCATCAAATACAGGAGGTATTGTTAAAAAACATAAGTGAGTCTTAAGATTGAGTGAAACAGCAATGACAAAAAGGAGCACACACAATTCTATTTATATAAAATTCTAAAAAATGTAAAGAATCTATAGTGTATAAATGTGAGTTACTCTATAGAAAAGCAGATCAAGGATTGGCTGAGAGAACAGCAATGGGATGGACCAAGAAGAGTGTGAGAGGATTTACAAAGTAGCACAAGAAGATATTTTGAATTAATGAATTTATGCATCATTTTGTTCACTCTGAAGACAACGTTTCAAACTGCACACTTTAAATGCAATGCAGTTCAATATATGTGAATTACATCTGAGGATATTGCTTTTTTGTCCACTTCTTAATGGCATAACGGAAATAGTACTGGTTCATGTGTAAGACATAAGATTAAAGATTATCTCTATTTTAATAATGCAATCTTATATAAGTTACTGTCAATTTTGATTCTTGGTTTCTATATTTATTTATCAGTAAGCTTATTTCAAATGAGCATAAGAATAATATATGTAGCAGTGGTTTGCTTAAACCCTCTCCCATTTCTCATTCCATAATGGATATCCTTCTATTTAACATAAACCCTTAAATGTGTACATATGCACATGTATTTAACATAATTAGATAGTATTGTGCTATAGCTCTTATTTTCCTTTTATGCTATATTTTAAGGATGTTTTCCCTGTTTCTCTATTTATCCAGTAAGTTGCTTCTAACTGCTGTTTTGTGTTTCATTCCATGTATCCACTAAGGCTAACTCATTGACTCTACAAGGCGGACAGCTGTGTATTCAACTGCCCCCTACTACAAGCAACAATGAAATAAATATCTGTTCTCTTTGTGGACCTGTACAAGGACTTCTCTGGGACATACGAAGGGTCTTCAAAAAGTTTGTGGAAGAATATACATTATGGAATGAACATGTATGGCTCTCCAACTTTTTGCACTGAAATAAACTTACTTTTAATTCCATTTCCCACAAACTTAGTGGTACTGCGCATCTACCTAAAAATGGGTTTTCTTGGCCATAAGACAAATAATTGTTTTTACTACCTGATTATTTTCAGATTCATTACCAAAATGGCCAGCTCAGTTTGCACTTCGATCAGCACTTGAAATCAATGTACTTTTTGGCAATATAATGGTTGTGACATCTCACTTTAATTGCCTTTTCAGACATTTGAACAGCACTTTCTATTCATAATAGGTTTTCCCTATTTAAAATGTCATTTTTATCCTTTAGTTTTACTTTAGGTCTTCCTGTCTTGTTGCTCTGCAGTTTCTTGATATGGCTCTCTATAAATATCATTAACTCGAGGCATTTTTTCCTAGAAACTATCCTAGTGTGTTACTTGCCTACTAACTTAAAGGTGCTGTTCACTGCCTAAACATCTTTTTTTATTAAATATAGTCAGAGCTATCATTTCTTAACCATTCTTTACTAAGTTATTTTTGGCTATTATTTAAGAAGTACAGTTCCATGCTAAATATCTCAAATGGAATTCTCTCATGTTTTCTTCTATTTGCTTCATCGTTGGACTATTTGTCTTTGGTCTACCTGTGGTTCAGTTAGATGGCACAATTTAAATAGGCATTTATATTTTCATTGGGAGCCAGTGTTTCAATACCATCTAGTAAAGAGTTTGTCACTCACATTTTCTTATGATGAGAGGAGGAATGCTCCATGTAGAGCGATGACCCACAAGAAGGAGCGAAAGAAGTATTCCTGCCTACCCACTCTCAGGAGGACAATGATGCCACCACTCACTATACAGCGGGGCTTCTAAAGACAAATGCAAATAAGAAACCTTACCTAGAGGTTCGGCTTTTGGAGACCAAATATAAAGAAAAATCATCTTACTAGAGCAAGTACATCAGAGGCAACAAATTCTAGCATAATCTTCAATGTTTAGTAACCCTTATGAGTACACACATGTGTTTCCTATCATGTGACATATTAAATGCTCTGAATGTCATACCTGTATAAACACTACATCATAACTATCCTTCTATAAGGTTTTAAAGGGTGTTAGTGGACTTGCTATCCACAAATTTTTCTAATTTCTCAATTTCATGAAATGATTTAGGGTGCTTGACATGATAGAGTTTTAACTGGTGAATTTTCTGTAAGCAAGAAATACTCTAGGCCAAGAAACAGGTTTGATTTATGGGTGTAATTCAGTATTCTACACATAGAAAGTATTTGGAAGATGTCCTTGACTGATTATCTGGCTAAGAGCCCAAATATTTACTGGGTTAGAATTTGCATGCAGAGAGAAATCTGCTTTTGTGAGAGTCAGGATCTATTTGTCTTCGCCTTCTAGTTGGAGGGAAAAACATCGGGGATTTCAAGCACTGCCCTCCTGCGTAAAGGTTAACTCCCTGCATTAGATCACCAAGGCTTTTTCAGAGACCACGCAGTGCTGCCTACTACCTATTCCAACTAACGTATCTGCCTTACCCTTCGATTTAATGGGAAATTATCAAGTAGAGAACAGAACTGAATAAGTTGACACTTTCCTATGAAACTGGCAACAGAAATGTTAAATAACAACTAAACCTCAGATGTGTCAATGTGGAAATGTTTACATTTTCCCCCACAAAAACTTTACAAACTTCCTTTCTGATGAATCTTGGTTGGGATCTGGAGTCATCAGGGTACTTGGCATATGACTCTGAAAATTTCTAAAATTTCCATCAGTGATACTGAAGATTCTGTTTTGGTAGCTTACAGAAAATTTCCCAAGTTAAAGTATGATATAACATGAGGAACATTTAAGTCTATACTAATCATATGTAACTTTATCAAAATAACAAAATAGTCTCCACATTGTATATTTATTTATTTCAGCATTTTATTGTACTTGTTAATCATATATTTCTAATGCCATAAAAGAAGTAGTTTATACCACTGCTTGCCATTAAATATTTTGAGGGAAACAGTTTATGTACGATCAACAATTAGAATGTTCTGATCTATTTTTGCCAGTCATATGATTGAAACATTACCAATACTGCTAACTGGTTATTTAAAACTAACTAAATCTTTTAGTAGTAATAGAAAAAAGTCACCTATCACCACAAAAAGAAAACAAAGTGAACAAATTAGACTTTATGTAACAAAAGGTATTTTGCTTTGGGAAAATACATATGAACTTATGATCAGTTTATGGTGCTAATCAATTTCATTTGCTCTGGAATAGTGAATGAAAACGTGAACTATAAATAACATCACAAATGTCATCTACAATCAAAGTGAAGATATACTTAATCAAAATGAACAATTTACAGCACAACGCTCTCCAAACTGAGCATTTAGGCAAATAACAATCTGGCTCAACTCGGAGCTCAAAAATTCTATTTATAATTATCTGGGCATGATGACCTGAGCTGCTGCATTCCTGTTCCCAACTTTTTTTGCAACAATATCAGGATGAGCTGGAAAGTGTGCATATGATTGCTTATTTGAATCAAGTAACTTATTCAGTAGATGCAGGGGTGACCTACATTAACAGGTATCATCAGAATGTAAGGGAGAGGTGCAAAACCACTAACAATATCTTATCTACTGAAGCTTTATTTTATACAGCTATCTAAATAATGAGTCTCCTTTCTCATGTAAACATACATCTTCCCTTCTGAAGAGGCAAAAAAAAAAAAAAAAAAAGGTTTTAATGTGTTTTAGTCCTCCCAGCCTTGCTAGGTGGGACTAAGCCCGTTTCCCTGCCACCATCCATCAGGTGGCAGCTCTTGGCGCCCAGCATGTCCTCCCTGTACTTGCGCTATTGAATCAGAGAATTAAGGGGCCAGCTCTTTATCCTGTAACAAGTCCTCTAGTTGAAAGTCTGTTCACTTGGCCAAAACTTACTGATTTTCTAGAATTAATTCAGAAATCATAATTATTACCATGAAATACAAACACTGGACTGGATTTGACTACTCCTGCCTCTGTGGCTCCTAGGACACAACTTGTAATTTCTGTCACTGTAACGTTCGCCCCAGCGTAGCACAGCTAACGACTGTGCATCTGCTTCCTCATGCCAGAGATGCCCCTTTCCAGTCCCTTCACAGAGCCTGCTGCAGGCTCTGGCAAGCAGTAGCTGTGCAATGTTGAGTTTTTGTTTTTTGTTTTTGTTTTTTTAAATTTTTTAAAATAAAATGAACTCCACAAACAAAACAATAGGTGAGAAAGCTAGGTTATTGTAATGAATCATATTTGAGTCAGCAAGTTTATATAAAATTATAAAGAATGACATTTTGAGTAGAGGTAAAGGACGAAAAAACTTGTCTAAGTCCAATCAACATACCACGACCATTTGTATCACAGTGGATTTAATCAGAAACAGGCATATTGCCATGTAAAGAGCATTTCTTTCCTCAATAATCAATGATTTCTCCTTTAATCACATAATTTTCTGATATGCACTCTCTTAGGACAGAAAGTAAAAGGGAAGCCCATTGTTCTAAGAGAAGCCTGCTAGAGAGAGACCACAAATACAGGCAATTCAGCTGCTCTCTTCCAGATGGTTCTCTGAGACGGAGTGCCTCTCATCTTCAGTCTGATGACGGGAGAAACGGCTGTTAGAAACCTTAGCAAGGCAAGATTCACGGAGCCCCCACTCTGCCGAAGGCTTTGCCAGTTCTCGTAAATCACTCGCATGGGTCAGATACTATGGTGTCCATTGTACAAGGAAGGAAACGTGAGGTGGAAGTGATGGAAGGATTTGTGGCGGTTGCTTTTCGTCAAGCCAAATTTTACGGTTCTTTTTACAGCAATCCACATTGGTCTTTAGAAACGTCACTCACCTACTGCCTTCCACTCACAGTATCCTCCTTTCCGACTCTTCGTTTAGGCTACCTCACATTTGCTAAACTGCAGTTTGAGTATTCCTTTCACGTGCAGTTGCAAGATCTGGCTGTATTCTTTGGGCATCTGATGGAAACCGCGCTTAGGCAACTTGTTGTCATAGTAGTGGTGGCTCACAGGCATGTCTTCAACAGTTCTAGAGAAGGGCCAGAATCCGTAGAGCTTCACGTTTTCACAGAGCTCCACCGCAACACTTGTGATCATCAAGCCAGTGGACAGGCGGTACGCAGTCACACCTTTAGTTCTCCAGAAAAGAGCAAGGTGCTTCAGGTACTTGGGATGGAAAAACAGGACCTTCTGTCTTGCTTTAGACTCTTTGAGAGTGAAGTACACTTTAAAAGATGTGTCCGTGTTGGCCCTGAAGGAAAACGCTGGCAGAAGGAGGAACGCATCCCCATAGGTTGCAATGTCATCCAGAAATATTGCTTTCTTTTCCTGTAAGTTTCCATATCTGCCAAGTGTTAAAAAAAATCATCATCATTATCACAATCCTGATTACCAAGGTATCAGATTGGTGACATGGGGCTGAATATGCCACTGGTCAAAGATACGGAAGTATGTACATCCTGCATGTAGAAACGATAACCCTGGGCTCCGTGACAGCTCATTCAGCCAAGCCTGGATCCCCAGGGCAGGACTGCTTCACCTCCCCTTCGTGGAGTTCTTGAGGTTTTCTTTATTAAAGATTGATTTTTTTTTTGCTTATGTAAAGGGAACAAACTTCATATATTTCATAAATACAATTTTAAGAGCATAGTGATATTCCTCAGCCTTTCCCCCTTTTATTTTTAATCTTTACAATGACAAACTTTAATTTCCTTTATAGTCACAGCTTAACCCTTCAATAAACAGAGAATTCAACAAGTAGTAAGTGAAAAACTACTGTTTCTACAAACTTCAAAATGCCATTTTCTTTCATCTAGTACTTTTTTATACTCTGCATAGTATCAAAAATCATGGAGGACATACGATGTTTGTCTTTTGAGGACTGGCTTATCTCACTAAGCGGAGCAATTCCCAGTTAAGATGATTTTGTTGCAAAGGACAAGATTTCACCTTTCCATGGCTGAGCAGTATTCCATTGTGTGTATGATATACATCAAGATGTGCTTATCCAGGCATCAGCTGATGAACATCTGTGCTGATTCTGTGTTTAGCTACTTTGGGTCAAGCTGCTTTAAACATGGGGGTACAGATAATGATTCTTTCATGCACTAATTCCATGTCCTTTGGGTAAATTCTCAGAAGTAGAATGGCTGATTTATACGCTATTTTCAGACTTCTGAGGAATCTCCATACTGTCTTCCGTCACGCTTACACTAGTTAATTTTCCCACCAACAATGGAAGCCTCTCCCCCCGACACCTTCGCGAGCATTTGCTTTTCTTTGGGATGACAGGCACCTACCAGGGTAAGGTAAGACTTCACTGTGGTTTTTCTTGCATTTCCCCAGTGGTAGTAATGCTGACATCCTCTCATCTGTCTACTGGTCATTTGAATTTCACCCTTTGAAAAATGCCTGTTCACATTCTCAGCTCATTTCTTTCTTTTTTTTTTTTTCTTTTTTTTATTGTAAAGGCAGATATACAGGGAGGAGGAGAGACAGAGAGGAAGATCTTCTGTCTGGTAATACACTCCCCAAGTGGCCACAATGGCTGGTGCTACGCCCATCTGTGGCCAGGAGCCAGGAGCTCTTTCAGGTCTCCCACGTGGGTGCAGGGTCCCAAGCCTTTGGGCCATCCTTGACTGTTTTCCCAGGCCACAAGCAGGAAGCTGGATGGGAAGTGGAGCTGCCAGGATTAGAACTGGTGCCCATATGGGATCCTGGTGCGTTCAAGGCGAGGACTTTAGCTTCTAGGCCACTGCGCCGGGCCCTCAGCTCATTTCTTAACTGGACTGTTTGTTTTGTTGCTGCTGAGGTTCCTGAACTCCTCATATGCATATCCTGGATAGTCACCTGTGTCAGAGGTGCAGTCTGCAAACATTTTCTCACATACTTCTGTACAGGCATTTCCTGTACTATTTTACATTCCCATTCAGTAGTTTCTTTCTAGCATTGCTTTCAGATGCTGTCATACCTTTCATATTTATAATGAAAGTTTGCTTTTCAAGCACATACTTGTTCTACACATTAAAAGATTAAGCTATGCACTTCTTATTTGTGCACATGTTGCATATATTTAATTATAAAATAAAAGCCTCCTTTTGAAAACCTGAAATATCCATATGAAAATTGTATATATTACTTTAAAAAGATTTTCTCATGCACTGCATGTCTCTATAGATGTGTGGCCTAACATGTTCCTCAATGAGGAGTCTTTTAAATCTATTTATGAATAGTTAGAAGGTCATGATGCAGAATGCAGCCTGAATATTTCATTTTTATTCAAGAATGACAGAACTATTTGGAGAGGCATATTCATTCATATGGATCATAGGTCACTTTTGATGTAACAATGAAGTAAAAAGTTAATTTTTTTAGGATGAGCCAACCAACACTTTATAACAGTTTTATTATGGAAATCAAACAGGGAAGTCATTTTTGAGTAAAAAATGATCCAAAGTGAACACTGTATTGCATCAAGTGGTCCTAGGGCTTGCTCTCTGAAACTGCTATAAAGAGATCAACTTCTCTCTAAATAGTGGTACTGAGATAAGGAAGCAATGCCAAAACTCTAAAGACAAATGAAAAAAGATTGATCTCACTATCGTCACAAAGATGAAGAGATAAATCTCCATTTGCTTAGAAGCACTGAGTTTAAGACATCAGAGGTACAAATGAGTGACGCCTCTTATGAATCACAGCCTTACAGAATGCCAAAATTTGTAACTGTATTTAATACATTTCCCCAAAATCCAATCCAGGATCCAGTATCAACTGAGAAACATCTTAAAACAACATAAAAATTATTCTTGAAGAGTTAGGTAACTTGGAGGTACTCACTTCTGTGTTATAATGCTGGGGTTCACGGTCACAAGGTTTGTTTTACTGCCAACATCTTTGCTAATATTTCCTGAGGTTGGCGGGAGGTTACACCTGAAATTTGGAAGGGAGATCACTTTATATTAAAAAAAAAAGCCACAAGAGTTATAAAAGAACAAGTGTAGACACACACACTCTTACATATACATAATTGTCCTTAAATCGGAAGAAATCATCAGTGCTAAGAAATGCTCAGATTCCATCCAATTTTCATTTAAAACCAATTATACTAAACCTTTCGTTGGCATAAGCACTTTACTATCCAACTATTGCTTCAATAAATAAAATTCTAATGTTCTTATAGGAATGCTTTCATTTCAATGCTCTCTGAGTACTACTATCTATTTTTAAGTGCTATGTAAATTAAAAATTCTAATTCTGAAGTATATTTCCATCACAAAAAAAGGCAAACTTGGTTATGGCTCCCTAAATGTCATTCCCAGAATTCTGTGAGCTATATCAACAAATGAAGCCCACCTTTTCCACACTGATATAAAAGATAGATCAGAAAATATATTGGCACTTGAAAAAAATAAATACTACTCATAGATGCTAGGCTGATCTCATTAGATATCCTCTTGCAAACTATCTTTCTAAAATTGTTTTATAATCTTTCGAAGAATCAAAATGCTTGGGTAACATTCATGTACGTCAGTAAAGCTCTTGCCTTTTATTTTGTGCCTTAGCAAATGTTCAGTTTCTAATCTTTTAAGATGAAGAAATTAGTAGCTTCCCAATTGTTTTATAATCTATTAACACGTTTAGCCAAAGTATGCATAAGGTTAAAACAATAACTTCTAGTGATATCAACCATGTCCAGTCCTCATTTTCTTTCAGTCTGAATGGCTAAACTTCAAAGGGAATTCTAAAAAATATTCAGGAAAGTACCTGGATCAGCAAATACAGAACATAAGAATCTAGGTCTTTATTTTAGAAACATAAATTAAGTATTTATCAAGTATTTTTAGATGTTCAACTTCAATTTGCATTTCTGATACTTGCTATAACATAAATTAAATGCTTAGGCATAATACCACAAGTGCTTTGGAATTATAAGTCTATAAAAAGACAATGGTTTTTAAAAAGTGGTGTGAAGAATTACTTTTCTTTATTATTTTTGTCACACTAGGTACTTGAGCAAAATGGCTAACACATTTAGATTCTGACCATTTTAGCATTAAACATGAACACTACTCAGTAACTGTTGGACTGTCAGGTTTATTAACCTCAGTATGGAGGTTTAAAATGAGATTAAAATGAGGAAGCATTGTTAGCTGAAAATCATGTTTTCCTTTTGTTTGATAAATAAATCAACTGGGATCTTTTTGGATGTATGAAATCCATCCTAAAACTGGAAGAAAGATTTCTCCGTGCCCTGTTAACAGGCATGTTTCTGTTGAAACCCTCCTCAGATGGATGAAATCATTTTTCTGTCATATGCTGAAAGTGGAGGGATTTTGTAAGACACACACAGAAATTATTTGTTTCTAAATTTGCAAGCAATCTGGCATCGGAACAGAAAGTGTTTTAAAAGACTGGAATGTAGAAGCTGTACCTTTTTGTTGTTAAATTTGAAGCCATAAAACGGAACAGTGCTACCTCACAGCTACAAAGTATCTACATCAGCATTTTCCCAAGTATTAGCAGAAAAAACAAATCATCCTTGAAATGCTCTATGAGGGAGAAGGTCTTCGAGGTCAGGGCAGTCTGGCAAGTGCAGCTCCCCAGAGCATCTCCAGGGGAACCCAGGTACCTTGCTCACATACTGAACGCTCTAACAAGTCTTATAGCCCCGAACCTTCTTTCCCCACTATTTTTACCCAGAGCTTTTTGAAAGTGGAATGCAGTACATTTTCATCCAATGGGCTGCAGCCCTCTGAGGAATTCATGAGCCAAGCAACATTTCAGGAACACCTACCCAGATCATCTGTAGACCACACAGGTCAAAGGTCTAAGTGTAAACCAGGTATCTTCATTTCCTTCTTTTAAAAAATATGCAACTGGGGACTGGCCAGGGGGTGGCGACTGCTGCCATTCCTGTGCCGAGCCAGCCAGGAGGTGGTAGCATTCCATGGGGACCTGAGGATGAGGGCTTGGGTGCGGGGAGGGCTGGGGCATAGCATCGGTGGGGCATGTGGGGACCTGGGAGCTCAAGTCTAGGCAGGTGGAGTGAACCTGGGGATTTCCTCATGTGGTTGGTCCTGGGGGAAGTGAGGAAAAGGGAAGGGAGAGCTGCAGGTCAGAATACTGCCTTGGTATGCTGGTAGACCAGGCCTGGAGAACTTCAATGGTCTAAACTTTGCATGTGTAGAGGGGTAAGGCACCAGGCCAGCACATGTGCCAGGAGCTTGGGACTCTGGTGGGCGGGCAGAGCTCCAGATCAGCACATCACCCACAGGGTTTCTGAAAGCTGGGCTGGAGAACCCACACACTCCTGGGCACAAGGATTGTGGAATGTTTAGAGAAAGGGGCAGTAGCATATGGGATAGGGAGGACCATCCTGGGAGTAATTGCAGGTGAGGAATGACTCCTGAGGGACTCTCAACAACAAAGCTACTGTACTTGCAGGTAAGCAAGGGGACTGAGACCTGCTTGTTTGGAGAGGAGAGGCCAGAGGACCTTTATAGGTCAGACCAATGCACCAGCCCACATGAGAGGCCTGAGTTGGCATGGAACATGGCTGACCACCACATGCTAGTTCACACAAAAGCTAGGACTGGGGACCTGTCTGGCAGGGCTAGATCCCAGTGACTGACAGTAAGTGTTGAAACAGTGGACGAGTCACATTAGGCTGGGCCATCACACTAACCAGCACACAGTCAGTATGAGCTGGAACAGGAGGTGAGCTGAGCGGGGCCAAGCTACAGCACACACTGGCAAGTGCTAAGGTGCTGCGGCACCCAACCAATACACTTGAGATGCGGGGGGATGAGGCAAACCTGGTAGAGGGCTGTGGGGGCTCCCCTGCTGGACCACTGTTCACACCGGTGAGCATGAGAGTGGGATGGGAGCAGACCAGGCTGGGCAGGGCTACAGTACCTGTTGGCTTGCAAGTCAGGTGTTTCAGAGGGAAAGCCACGCTGGGTTGACTGTTCCTACTGGTACATGCACAAACCAGAGTGGGTATGGGCTGGTTGGGCTTTGCTGCAGCATCAGCTGGCAGATGCTGTAACTGGGGGCTAATTCTGTCAAGCTTGACTACAGAACCACCTTGAGAGTGTAAGATCCGAGAGTGGGCCCATTAGGGAAGCAATGGACATCTCCCTCCTGGGTTGCCACTCCTATGGTTGAGCATAAGAACCAGGACTAGAGGCAGGCATGGCTAAACAGAGTGGTACACGCTGACACCAGTGTGAACTGGACAGTGGGGCTGATTGGGTTGAACTAGGCTTCAGTGCCCCTTGACATGTATGAGAGCTGAATGGGATATGGGACAGATTGGACTAGTCTGCTGTACATACTGGCAAGCACAGGAACCAGGGCAGGGGGCGGGCCTGATGGGGGTTATTGGGAATTGTTCCAACTAGGCTGCAGCTCCCACTGGTTTATATGAGGGCTGAGTGTATGGTGGGCAGGATCAGGTTGGGCTGCAACACCTATTGATTTGCACATGAGATGGGGCTGGAAACAGAACAGACCCAGCAACTGCAACCACCAGTGTATGCAATGGACAGTGCTGGATGCTGCACTGGTAAACACACATAGAAATCAGTTCTGGGAATCACACCAGATGACGTTTCTTTGAACTGCTGGACTCAGAATTCTAGCCCTGCAGAGAATTTCAGGATCCATGGTCTGAGAGGGGAGGGCATATATCAGAACTGGGTCTCCTCAGTGGTTCAGACTGAACAGTGGATGGCACAACCAGATGCACATGGAGGTGTGGCAGCATATTGGAACATTCAGAAGATATCTGGTAGCATAATAGAGGACAGAGTAAACTAATCAACTACCCCCGCCGTGTGCTGGCAATGAATATCGGGGCAAATGGAGACTCTAAGGCCGTCTATGTCAGCTAGTGGATTTTGGAGAGATTTCATCGTGCTTGGAGTGGCAAGATGAACAATCCAGAACTGTTGAGCGGGGCTCTTGGAGCATGCCCCATATCAGGGACCCTGGGATGGTATCAGGTGGCTGTCCACCATTCCAGGATATGGAGGTGGTTGGGAGGCTGGGTGTGACTTCTCCCCTTATCTCCACCTTTCCCCCACATACAGAAAGGAAAAAAGAGAATGTGGAAACAATGGTTTCACCCACTTTCCTCTAGTCCTTGACCCTCCCCACCCTAATCAACCATGTAAAAAGCATCAAAAATAATATTTAAAAATACACAACTGATATTCTGTTTCCAGGAAATATATTTGGTAGGCCTTACCTGAAGACGAAGTCCGATTTATCAATTTCGGCTCCACAGAGAGACTTATTCAGGATGCCCCCATTTCCCACCACGGCACACTGATTGTAAGGGTGTCCCACAAAGGGTTGGGACTAGCAAGAGAAAGCAAAGCAAAAATGTGAATCACTATTTGTTTTAAACCACAGCCACCACCAGCTTAGTTTAAGTAACTTAATTTTTGTATATGTACTAAGGACAATAGGAAGAATTGAAAGAAATGCAAAAAAACAATTCTTGCCTTTTATAAAAAAGATTTATTGATTTATTTGAAAGGCAATGCAACAGAGTGAGAGAGATCTCATCCACCTGCCGGCCCACTCCCTCTAAATGCCCAAACACCAGGCAGAGTCAGGCTGAGACCAGGAGCCTGAAACTCCATGCAGGTACTCTACGTAAGTGGCACAGACTCAAGGACTTGAGCCCCCTTCTTCTGCCTTCCCACGCCCTTTAGCAAGAAGCTGCATTGAAGGTCGGGCAGTCAGGACTCAATCCAGCTTCTGGGAGGCCAGCAGCTTCAAGTACTGTACCACAAGGCTAGCCCTGAAAGCAATATTTCAAAATTAAAAAGCTGCACAGCATGCTGGCTGACTTCATATGACTTATAATAAAATATCATTGAGTAAATCTGTTTCATTTCCCTTGAGACGAGCAGCCACAACATAAAATACAAGGTAATAATACAAAATACATTCATATGCAAAATACACTTATTTTTATTACCACAGAATTAAGTAATAAAGTGAGAATAGCAAAATACCATATTGTGACTAACAAAAGGGACATGTTTGGCAAAAAAAGAAAATAAAGACATTTGAAAGTAGCATTCAATCTTCTAAAAGGTAATAATTAATATTTACTTTAATGAAATTTTCTGTGCTTATTAAATAGTTAGACCTTCAGGATTGGAAATGGTCTTGGACTTATACTTACGATCTCTGCAAATGACCAGCCAGAGTGCTTCAGGGAGGTGCACCAATTCAGCCCTGACATATTTCATAGTAATTTCCAAAGTCTGAATTCTGCTCATTACTTCTTAAGACTCAACTTGCACATGTTCAAAAGGTTTTGCACACTCCCCAAGCCTTCCACCATGTGAAACATAACATTGCAAATCAATAGTGCACTTTTTTTCTATTCTTGTCACTTTCCCTGAATAACAGTATGACCTTGAGCCAGCATCCACAGTGCAGACTTGTGCTCCACACAGATGAGGTCCTGGTTTCACCTATTTTGTTTCTAGAATTAGAATGAAAATCCTCAAGGGTGGAGAGTGTATTTCTTAGACTGACTTTCCTTTGTCTTTTCTCCACATTAATCATAATGCAGTGTGCGATGAGTTATCCATAGCTACTTGTCAGCAGAGTGGGCCACCCTGATGGCACCCTTGCAGTATGTTGAAGCTGGTTTATTCAAGATTGCAAAGGTCAATGGGGCATTCTTCAGGATTCAGGAATCCTGTGCACTGGTAACAAAAAAACACTGGGAACTTGCTCTCTGGCAGAGTATAAAATTACATTACTGGGGTTGGCAAAAGCTACAAAATCAAGGGATAGTCCTCCACAAAGCCAATTTTTCAGTGCCATTGGCCATCAGTCTGGGGTGCTGTGAGTTTGAACAACCTAGAGCAGCCCAGAGCAGCAGCAGACTCTACCTGCTCCACAGGCTGCACCTGGGAGACACTGATGCTGTTTTAGTCCTAATGTCTTTCTTGTTTGCTTTTTGTAAGACTTATTTATTTTTATTGGAAAGGCAGACTTACAGAAAGATTTTCCATCCACTGGTTCACCCCCCAAGTGGCTGCAATAGCCAGAGTATAACCAATTGAAAGCCAGGAACTAGGAGTTTCTCCTGGGTCTCCCATGCAGGTGCAGGGTACCAAGGATTTAGGCTGTTTTTTACTTCTCAGGCCATAAGCAGTGAGCTGGATGGTAGGAAGGGCTGCAGGGACATGAACTGGCACTCATATGGGATCCTGGCATGTACAAGGTGAGGACTTTAGCTACTGGGCTGGGCCATCGTGCTGGGCTTCAAATGCTAATGTATTTAGAGGGTCATAGTCCCCAAAACCTACAAGTCATATTATGCTCATTATGTGAAAGTCACTGTTCCAAGTACCTTACTTTCTAACACATTCAACACACACAACAATCAGCAGCCTACAGATGGGAAAATGAAGGCCTAGGTGCTGCTAAAGTTGCAATGTGGCAGAGCTGGGCTGTGTAGCCAAGCACTCTGTTCCACAGTACATGCTCTTGTCCATGACATAGGACACTGTTTCTTACTCATCAGTGAATCAAAGTGTTAAATATGGGCTTTATTTCTCTTTGCAATGCCTAGCAGGGTGCCTGGGTCTTAGATGAACAGTTCCTAGATAACTGATTATTTCCTATCACTGAATTTCTAGCTCAAGACATCTCCAGACGGTGTTTTCTAACTGAAACCACAATAACTTCTGAATTTTATAGATAATATAGAATATGAAAAATGCATATAAATATGCTCTTTATGGCACAATAAAATGATTACTGGGGGAAACATAAATTAAGCCCTCAAAATAAGGAATGTTTCTCTCTGGTTTCTTGAGTCAATGTGGGGAAGACATCCATATATTTTGGAATCTCATGTTCACTAAGAGTTTAAATGAATTACAGACTTTGACATTCCCCAAAATAAACCTCCTAAGAATATGCAAATTTGCATGCCTCAACTGCCTGCTCATTGCTCGCCCAGGTTGAAAACCAACTTTGTTGTTTTCCTTTTCAAGAAATTAGGAAAGCTTTTGGAGAAAGTTACTTCATACACACTGAATCAAGTGCATCTACCTGCCCAGCATGCTGGGAAGTTGGGATCAGAAAGACAATAAACACAAGGCAGGGATGTGGGAAACAAGGTGGGAGACAGGTTAGCCCACGAGAACATCCACACACAACCAACCTGCTTTTACAAGTTGAACTGACTTCAACATTTTCTCTCTCCAATTTTGAAAACTGTATAAACTTGGAAAACTGAATGCAGTTGTCAATCACCCCCAGATTAATCACCTTCATGTTGATTTTTCTTTCAAGGTGCCAAGTGAGAGGCAAAGAGTTGCAATCAGTCAGCTGCAAGCCAGCCAAGCCCAACAAAAACTGCATGTGAATAAGTCATTCCTTTCATGAATCTCTAAGACCTTCTCTGATAGGGAGCAAAGATCTTTCTCTACTGTCTGTTCAATTATTGATAACTTCAGCACGCCATCAGAATACTTTATGAGCTTTTATTGTCTTAGATAAACTTCACTGAGTACCATCATCCACAATAAATTACAACCATTTTGTTGCTCACTTCAAAACATCCAGTTTTGACTTTATTAATTTTCTCTACTCTTGACTTTAGCTTTTTTATGAGCACTTTTATTCCTGTTTTCCTCTGGAAAATTTACAGTGATTTTCACCATCATTTTTTATTTGCTTTTTATTTATCCTGAGGAAACATTAATATAAAAATACAGGGTGGAGGAAGAGGGCAGGTGCTTGAAGCAGTGTTTAAGACACTGCTTAGAACACAGCAACCCATATCAGAGTGCCTGGGCTGGAGTCCTGGCTCCACTCCCAATCCCAGTTACCTGTTAATATACACCATGGGAACCAGCAGGTGACAGCTCAAGAAGTTAGTGCCCACCTTAATCCACACAACCTCCATCACTCAAAAGGGAGACTGAATTCTTGCCTCCTGGCTTCTGTGGTGGGAATTTGGGGAGTGAATCAAAGGACAGGAGATCTCTCTCTGTCTCTCTCTCTCTCATTCTCTCTCTCTTTCTCTCATCTGCTTTTCAAGTAAAATAAATATATTTTTTAAAAAATCAGAATTTACACAAGCAATAAGAGAATTAATTGTGAGAATCTGCCAACCTAGAGTTAATAAACTGCCTATTTAAAATGACTAAGTGCAACTGCTTTCAATCTCATCTGGGAGCATACATTTATAAGCAAAGAGATGTTCTTCATGATGAAAACGCCCCCTCACATTTGGATTTACATGAAGGGACAAGTTGCTTTCTCAATGTGTTGACTGGTGCTATGCCATATTACTCATTTGTTCAATGAACCTTTGTGAGTGCCTACAATGTACTGCAGAATATTCTATGAGCTTGGAATTACTCAATGAACACAGCAGGCAAAAGCGCAGTAACGTGAGATAAAACTATGCTAATAGGTCAGGAAAAATAATAATGTGGAAAAATAATACAAAGGGCATACAGTGAGAGAAGAGTATGGGAAGAACCTCTATGTTTCTAAATCTGTATCATGAAAAATGTGAAATCTGCTCGTTTTATGTAAATTAAACATAAAGTAATCCCCATCTCCTGGAGGTTAGATTTATTGAGAACAAATTCTTGCATATTTACTTCTCAAAGATAAAACATACAAACCTATAGTTCGTTGTGAAGAAATCCATTTAGCCATCCAAGTTGACAACCAGAAGAATCTTATTCTAAGTTAACTGGCTGGCATCTTTGCAAGTCAGTAATCTTATACAGAAAGCCTAAGTTCCTCATCTCATACAAAAAGTCAGGAGGACTCATGGACTGGAAGAGCTTAGCACTGACGGCGCAGATGCCCTTCCCTGCAGAGCCACAGACCATTCACAAATGCCTTGTTCTTTATTTATTTTTTTAATTTGGAAGGCAGAAAGAGAGAGCTTCCATCAGTTGATTAATTTCCCAAATTCCTTCTACAGCCAGGTCTGGGCCAGCCAAAGCCAGGAACCTGAACTCCATCCTGGTCTCCCATGTGTGTAGTAGGGTATTCGGTACTTCAGCCATTCCCTGCTGCCTGCCCCCCAGGGTGGACAGGGGGTGGGAACAGAGGTGAAGCAGGACTCAAACCCCAGCATCTGAGATGTGGACATCCACATAGCATCTGAACTGCGGTGCCAAAGGCTTGCCCACATCATCCATGCTTAATGCAATATGATAGAGCATGCCATTTTAATCAATTAATTCATCTTTACACATCATAACTTAGAAAGGAATGGTGTCACAAACAATCCATATCACATGCTTACTCACCTCTGGAAGCATATGGAAAATGCCTTGTCTAATGGGGATTTCTTTTTTACTTTCCACTTCGTAAGTCATATTACTCCCAACTGGAGTGTTATTTTGAGAAACAACAAAGTTTTGAATGGCACCACAACAGGAAGCAAGTTTTGCTCTGCAAAGGATAAGAATAAAAGCTGACCAAGAAATAAGATTAACAAACCCAAAATAGTGACCACAATGGGTAATGCAAAGAGGCTTTTGTCACACCAGCTTTCAAAAAGAAGGTATACTGTTCACAAAGATGACATTTTATCTCATTTGATATGCTAGCCAAGATGGTAACATGGTGTCTTACAGGTTAAAATGGCAAACTATGTTAAATATACTTGTACTCAGGTAGTAGTCAAAAGTAGAAAGCACTTGTGAATTAGCATTTTAGAAATAAAAGTTGCCACCTGAAGTTACTGATACTAATTTACATTTTTGTAGACTTTCTGTAAGGAACGGCAAATTTAAACTTGCTTCACTTACAATTTATTGTATTGTGTGATTCTTTTTGTTGGACCTGCTTTGTAACAAGTGATTACTTAGTGCGCTGGTGACTTTTACATTGTCTTTCTTTTTTTTTAAGGAAAGGTGTTTTTTAAAAAACATATTTATTATTATTATCATTTTATGATATAGTTCTATAGGACCTGGGATTTCTCTTACCTGCCACTCAAATCCCCTCTCCCCACTAAGTTTCCCTATATTATTAATATAATATTGTTTTTCATAAAAAGTCATATGTCCATCATGGCAGACATGGACAATGGCAGAGAGTCCAGCATCTGATTGTCAAGATATAGTTAACAGTTTCATTGGGAGTCCATCTTTGTCTGGAAGTAGAGATGCATACTGCATTGTATCCTCACATCTGGATAGGATAGTCTCCATTACACAGTTACCGTACATCCCCTTAAATGAAAAGCAACAAAATGAAATCAACAATAGGAAGAAAAATAGAAAATTTACAACGCCATGAAGTTAAATAACATGCTACCAAATGACTAGTGTATCACTGAAGAAATAAAAAAGAAAATCAAGAATCTTTTTGAAGAAAATGATGCTACTGTATGACTGACCTAAGAGTCAGTAACAAATTTAATAAGAAAAAAAAACTGTTTTGAAGAAATGAAAACAAAGAAACAGAAACATCAAAATCTATAAGATATAGTTTTTGCTGATCTTTGTTGGTGAGATGTGTCTCCTGTAGGCAAAGACTGATGTTTTTTCTTTTAAATTTAGTTTATTAATCTATGATGATTGATGAGTTTAAGCTATTTACATTCAGGGTTAATATGAATGGGTGGCAATTAGGTCCTGTCATTTTAGCAACGGGTTGTTCATTATTTGATTTAGTCTTCTATTGTCATTTTATTAGCATGTTCTTCACATTTGCCTTTGGTTTTGTTTGGTGCTATTCCTCTTCTCTGTCAAGAAAACATCTGTAAGTATCATTTGTAGGGGAGGTCTGGAAGAGGCGTCTTCTTTGAGATTTCTTTACTGTGGAAGAATTTTATTTGATCTTCAAAGACAAAGGAAAGCTTTGCTCGGTACATTATCCTGGGCCAACAATTTTTCGCTTTTAGAATCTGGAACATGTCACTCCATTCTCTTCTGGCCTGCAGAGTTTTCTGTGAGAGATCTCCTGTGAATTTAATTGGCATTCCTTTATAGGCCAATTGATTCTTTTCACATGCACATTTAAGGATCTTTTCCTTACATTCAACTGAAGAAAGCTTCATTATCATATGAAAATTGCTTTTGGTCAAACCTGTTGGGAGTTCTGTGCCCTTCCTGAATTCTGTTTCCCAATTCTTTCCCTAGATTAGGAAAATTTTCCTTTATTATTTCATTGAATATAGCTTTAAACCAAGAAATACCTTCCAATTCTGAGATTATTCTGCTTCATTCATTCTGTTATGGAAACTTTCCATTGCAGTTTTTATCTGCCCCATTGTGTCCTTAATTTCTAATATTTCAAACAAATAATTGTTGAAGATACCAGACTTTTCCCCTGGACTATTTTAAGTTCTCTTATCAAATATTAACTGGCTACACATGTAAGGGATCCCTTCTGGGGTTTCATTGTGTTACACTGATCTTCCCTATTTCTGTACAAGTACCAGATTGTTTTGTTTTTTTAAAGATTTCTTTATTTTTATTGGAAAGGCAGATATACATACAGAAGGAGAGACAGAGAGGAAGATCTTCAGTCCGATGATTGACTCCCCAAGTGACCACAATGGCCGGTACTGCACCAATCCCAAGTCAGGAGTCAGGAACTTTCTCCAGGTCTCCCACGTGACTGCAGGGTCCCAAGGTCTTGGGCTGTCCTTGACTGCTTTCCCAAGCTACAAACAGGGAGCTGGATGGGAAGTGGAGCTGCTTGGATTAGAACCAACACCCATATGGGATCCCTGCACATTTAAAGCAAGGACTTTAGCCGCTAGGCCACCGCCCCGGGCCTAGTACCAGATTGTTTTAATGATTAATCTCTGTTACATGTTTTGAGATCTAGAATTGTGATTTCTCAAGCTTGATTTTTATTCTTCAGTATAGGTTTGCTATTTGTGGTTTCCTGTGTTTCCAGATGAATTTCTGTAGCTTCTTTTCTATTTCTGAGAAGAATTTTTGTTGGGATTTTAAATGGGATCACACTGAACATTTTATCGCTTGTAACCAAGTGGTCCCACTTGGAGATCATTATGCTCAGTGAAACAAATCAATCTAAAGGATAAATATCATATGTTCTCTCTCACATAAGGCAACTTTAATGCAAAATACGAAATCAATAGCCTTCTTAATACTGCTTTGGCTACATCTCATGGGGCTTGATGATTTTTTTACGTTTTCACTCGTTCAAAAAAGGTTTCATTTTGCTTATTATTTCCTCACTGATTCACCTTTGATTTTCTTTTTCATTTCTTTGGTGACACATTGGTCATTTAGTAGCATGTTACTTAACTTCATGTTGTAAGTTTTCTATTTTTTGCCTATTGTTGATTTTGTTTTGTGGCTTTTGAGTTGAAGGGATGTATAGTAGCTGTGTGGTAGAGACTATCACATACAGATGTGAAGATACAATGCAGTGTATATCTCTACTTTCAAATCAAAGGTGGACTTCCAGTGAAACTATTGTCCATGGCCACAATGTTAGGATACACTTAAATAGCAGAATGATGGACTTAGGACTGATTGAGAAGGAGTATACCATTGGAATGATAAGGGGAAAATCAGTAGCAAGGGTGGGGATTTGGGGAGGCAGAGGGAATTTCTGGAGCCTATAGAACTGTATCATAAAATAATAACATAATTAATTTTTAAAAATAAAACACTATCTGTGTTTAAAAGATTTTGATATCAACAGAGAAATTTACATAGAAAAAATATAAATGAGGGGGAGGCTAATGTTGTGGTATAATACGCAGGCTGCCACCTGCAATGGCCACAAATTTCACATTCCAGTTGTGTTTTTTTCTTAGCCTTTTATTGAAATATAGTATACCGACTAAACAATGAGCACAAATGTATGGATAAATGAGTTTTTAGTCCTCTGATCACACTCAGAGCTAATATCCAGTGTAAGAACACATTACTAGCATCCCAAGAGTCATCACTTCACCCCTCTTTTTTAATTAATGTGGAAAAGCACAGTTTATTGTCCTTTACACAGAATGATTCAGTAAAGCAATATTGACAACTATCTACCAAATGGCATGAAATAAACACAATTGTGATTTTTTTCCTCTATCCTAACTATCACACAAAAAAACCCATGGTATTTATCTGGCATGTGGTATGATACTCTCCACTTGCATCCACTTTGTTACTATCACCAGGATTTTATTCTTTTTATGCCTGAGTAATGGAGGAGGCTACTTGAGGAATGAATCAGTGAATGAAAGACCTTTCTTTCTGAGTAACTCTTTCAAATAGATATAAAAACATTAAAAATAAGAAGAAATATTTTTGTCTTAAAGCCACACTGATTGAAAGGAAGAGGATGGGAAAAAATATTCCATGTAAGTGGAAATCAAAAGCCAGCAGGAGTCACTATACTCTCATAAGATAAAATACTCTTTAAGGTATGTTACTTGTCATGTTCATGCTTACCGATGTAGTCCAGATCCCTGCAATAGCCATTGTTAACATAAAGTTGAGCTTCTTATAACAACAACAAAAAAGGAATTGTATTTCTGATATTCCATCTGTTGTCACACCTGACCTTTGGTCACTGGGAAGTCAGCTATACACTGCCACCACAATAGATATGGTAATTCTTCACTTACATAGAAAGAGGAGCACTGAAAATGGAACATACTGGTGGCATTAAATAGAAAGCCTGGCACTTCTGTGTCACCTAAACTACCTGTGATACCATTTCTTATTCTACAACAGTAAATGCCCCAACCAGATCAGCAGGCACAAGTCATCTGCTTGTGCAACATGTGCACTTTCTACAGCATTTGCACCTTCAGGTTCCCACTGGATTCTGAGAACAGGCAGGCACATATAACTCATTCTTCCCATTTTGGAGGATAAGAAAATTTGGGTTGAGAGAGAGAATACATTACATGACCAAAGCATGTAGAATGGAAACTATTGAACCCTGCGTCTTTTGACATTCAGTTCTCTGTAGTTTACACTGCAATGTGTCGCCACAGGACAATGTAGTTAGTTAAGGCTCTTCCTTTGGGATGCTTTCTAAAATGGTCTCATATGCAGTAACATGGCTGTCACCAACAGCCCTGGAAACCCACCCAGGCAGGACTGACAAGTTACCATATTTATGCCGTAGACCTTCTCTGTATACAAGTGAACCAATGGAGGCGCTTGCTTTTTGTGGAAGATACACAGATGTTTGTGTCAGTTGGCCCTAAAGCACACAGAAAACTTCTGACTTGATGACAATCTAACTCCTGCTATGTACCTCCCCACATCCAGCACTAGGACTACATCCTAACTTCCTCCATGAAAACCCTCGATTCAGGGACCAGTACTGATACACAGTGAGGCTGCTGCTTGCAACACTAGCATCCTGTTTCAGAGCAGAGGTCTGAACTGCTGCTGCTCTGCTTCAGATCTGACTCCCGTCTGCTGTGCCTGGGACAGCATCAGGAGATAGCC